CATATCTTAGTGACTATATTGTGTGTGCAATTAGTGTATATTTCAATTATATTATTGTTCAAGGCCCTTAACTATCTTTTGCTAACTAGTACCAACTACCTCATATATCTTTTTTTTTTTTCTACTTTTTTATTCTTTTGCTACCTTAACTTGTATATTTTATCTTGTCAATTTAAATCTAGTTATACTCTAATTCTTGTAAACAACTTATATAACACCTTAGTGCAATTACAATTGAGAGTCTTGTGCCTTTTTTATATTATTAGATTAAACTCAGTTGTACTATAGTCAATACCAAATTCATTATATTAGACCATATTGCAATTACTAGTGAGAGACTGGTGCTATTTTTAATTTGTATTTTTATATTATTAGATTAAATCTAGTTGTACTATAGCTCATTCTAGCTCAAAACATAGACTCCACAAAAGTCATTATATTAGACCTTAGTGCAATTACAAGTGAGAGTCTTGTTCTATTTTAAATTTGTATTTTTATATTACTAGTTTATACCTAATTGTACTTTAGTTCATTCCAGCACAACACATAGACAACATCAACTTTATTATGTGTAGTAGTGACTATACTCTATATGACCAAAATACTCTAGCTATATACTTATCCAAGCTTCCCACCACTACAGATATCAATACTAGAACTCAACACATAACTCAGGATATAAATAACCATAATTTAAACCTAGAAGATGATTGATCACGTTGACCCTGATCTAAACCTCCATAATCTGACACCCAATCAAAACCTATTGGAAAGTAACTGCCTTTATTACACAGCATCACAAGCCAGCACTATCCTAAACAATGCTAAAAGCCTATCAGTACTTAACTACAACATCAGGTCCTTAAGCAAACACTATGATGACCTCCTGGCACTCCTTGAATCACTAAAGACACCTTTCTCCTGCATTATTCTTACTGAGACCTGGCTTAAGCAGGACACAATAGATATCTACCCTCGACCAGGATACACAGCAATTCACAACTGCAGACCAAACCAAGTTGGGGGTGGTATTGCAATCTATTACTCTAACCAATTATCTTGTATTAGCACCACTTGCTTTAGTGATGAATATGGGGAATACATTTTTGCTAATTTTACTGTAAAAAACCTTAAGACACCCATAACAATCGGTGCCATTTACCGATACCTCACACAAACACCCAAATTTCAGTGAGAAATTAAAGTCACTAATAACAAACAGACAAATGAATAAGCACCACCTTCTCTTAGCTGGAGACTTCAACATCAACCTTGGCTTACTAGATGATCAGCCTGTAAACTGATTTCATCAACAATATGAACAACACACTTCTCATACCAACAATAACTAAACCAACCAGGCTCACTGAGACAAGTGCAACCATAATAGACCACATATGGACCAATATACTAGCCCCTTAAATCAGGGATAATCACAGATAGCACTACAGACCACTACCCTACCTTCCTCCTGACAAACATTAATAAACCACCACATGAATACAACAAAGTCTCATTTAGACTCCATGACGAGGCCTCAATAAGGAAGTTCACAACTGACCTAGAGATTGTTGACTGGCCTACAGAATTCTCCAAGGCCAATGGTATTGATGACTGGACAGACATTTTTCTTAACAAATTATTTAGACTATACAACAAACATTGTCCTATAAAAAAGAAACAGATCACAAACAAACGGCTTGGTTGCCCATGGCTAACCAGCACCATTCTGAAATCCATTGACAAGAAATGCCAATATGAAAAGCAATGTAGACAGGGCTTAATACACAAAGATATTCTTAAACACTATTCATCAGTTCTCACCAAAGTAATAAAGAAAGCCAAACAACTATACTACTCCAGTAGATTCACAGGCACTAGAGGAGATATAAAAAAGACCTGTAAAACACTCTCTCAGATTCTAGGGACCCACAAACTGAAAAAAAAACAAGAATATTGTCCTAACTAAACCTAATGAAACACCACTACATCCCACTGACACAGCTAACAAGATAAATGACTTCTTCTCAACCATAGGATCTAATCTCGCCAATAAAATCCCACATACTAATGCCCATGCCGGGGACTACCTAGATGGGAATTTCCCAAATTCCTTCTATCTTGCACCAACTGAGCCCTCGGAAGTCACCGAGATTATAAAGTCACTTAAAAACAACTCAGGGAATCTGTCTAATGTCCCACCATTACTGTACAAGCGAGCGGCCCATATCCTTTCGCATGCTATTTCATTACTTTTTAACAAGTCACTAGAAACTAGCACCTTCCCGAAACTACTCAAGATGGCAAGGGTTACACCAATATATAAAAGTGGTGACCCTACAGACTTAAACAACTTACCATTGCTATCCAAAATCTTTGAGAAACTCGTGCACAGGAGACTGTATTCATTTATAACAGCACAAAACATACTCAACCCCTGCCAATTTGGATTTAGGAAAAATAAAAGCACTAATGATGCAATCATAAAAATGCTAGATCTGCTTTACACAGCATTGGAAAATAAGGAATATCCACTAGGAATTTTTATTGACCTAAGAAAAGCTTTTGACACAGTAGACCACGACATCCTACTCCACAAACTTGACCATTACGGTATAAGAGGCCATGCGCTTGCTTATTTCAAATCTTACCTTACTAATAGGTATCAGTATGTTACCATTAAAGACACAGCATCAACAACACGGCCACTTGATACTGGAGTTCCGCAGGGAAGTGTCCTTGGTCCCCTGCTCTTCCTCATATACATCAATGATCTTCCAAACATATCCCAACACCTGAAACCCATTCTCTTTGCTGACGACACGACTTATGTCATCTCTCACCCTAATCTTGCCACCCTCAACACCATTGTTAACGAGGAGCTGATCAAAATATCGACTTGGATGACAGCCAATAAACTTATGCTTAACACTGACAAAACCTACTATATTATGTTTGGTAGCAGAGCAGGATATGCACAAATTAACATTAAGATCACCAACACTCTAATTACCAGACATAATGAGGGCAAATTCCTAGGCCTATACCTTGACAACAACCTGAATTTCAGCACCCATATCCAACACATAACCAAAAAAGTATCCAAAACAGTTGGGATCCTCTCCAAGATACGATACTACGTGCCGCAAAAATGCCCTTCTCACACTATACCACTCACTTATTTATCCATACCTCACCTATGCTATTTGTGCTTGGGGATCAACTGCAGCAACACACCTAAAGCCAATAATAACCCAACAAAAAGCTGCAGTAAATAATCACTAAATCCCATCCCTGGCAACACACCCCCCCACTCTTCATAGATCTAAACTTACTCCCTGTTCAGTACATCCACACTTACTACTGTGCAATCTACATCTACAGGACCTTAAACTCCAATATCAACCTTGACCTAAAACGCTTTCTTGATAGTTGTGACAGAACCCACAGGCATAACACCAGACACAAACATCTCTACGACGTTCCCCATGTCCGACTAAACCTTTACAAAAATTCAATGTATGTCAAAGGCCCTAAAATCTGGAACACCCTACCTGAGAACTCTAGAACTGCAGACACATTCATCACCTTCAAAACTACCATTAGAAAACATCTTATCTCCCTGATAAACCCCATCAACTAACTACACGAATACCACCTGGTGGTTCACACTTACACTCACTCACCCATTTGACCATAAACAGAAATATTAATCTCGATCTTAAAATAATGAATCCTATGATACTCCAATACTGAAACTATGTACTGTGCCAAAACAAAAGCATTCACATTGCTAAACTCACAAACTAGTATTTAGTCACTTAGCCATAATACCAACTTACCTCATAATTTGTAATATTTTAAAATAATGAATTAAACTAAGTCTGCCCGAAATGCCTAGCCATGCTAGGCGTTCTAGTGGTACACTCTGTAATCATTATTTATTTGAATAGTAATAATAATAATAACAGTAAGGAGAAACTTGAATAGGCTGCCAGTAGTTGGCGCCATCAGCAAAACATTGGTAACTGCTACTAGTACACTTTTCACCTGTCTAGACTTAAGTAGTCTTAAGTAGGCATTTCTGCCTGAAATGCCTTGGCATGATAGTGGCTTTCTTTGCTCCAATCATATTGATATGTAAACACACATTGTAACCTTTGCAAAGAAATATATATTTTATTTATTTATTTATTTATATAAGGAATCTCCCTCGAGGGGGAAGTTCACATCCTGAAATTTCGTTCGTATCCTGAAAAATTCGTATGATGGGGCGTTCGTAAGCCGAGGTTCCACTGTATAAATTTCCCCAACTTGAATCCATGATCAGGTGTCCCGTAGCTCAATCGCTAGCTCAATCAGCTCACACACTGAGGTCCAGAAATCAAATCCCCGGTACAGCTGGAAAACATTAGGGACGTGTTTCCATGAGACACCTGCTGTACCTGTTCACCCATCAGTATAAAATGGGTACCTGGGTGTTAGCCGACTGGTGTGGGTCGCATCCTGGGACAAAACTGACCTAATTTCCCTGAAAAGTTCCGCATAAGTGGCTTTCTATATAATGTCATTGATGTCAGCTAGGCCTATATACCTTGTACATGTACTTGTAATAAATAAAGATATTATTCAGTGTCAAGTTATAGTTTTTATTTAGAACTCGCAGATAATTTTAAAATTTACAATGTTTAATATAGTAAATTATGAAGAATGTATCATAGGATAACCCAATAATGTTAAGCAAACAAACATTTAATAATACATCCTTCATAATATGTGTTCAACATGAATTACTTTGTATAATTTTAAGATAATAGAACTACTCAATGGAACTCGGTGCTTATTTTCCATTTAACAACACCTACAACCTATGTACTGCACGGAATAAGTAATTGTTTTTGGTGCAAATTGTTATTCTGGAATATAAGGAAAATGAAAAATTTACTCTGGTGACGCAAGACACAAGTGTAGAAGAAATACTGACAGCCAGAGTGACTCACCTCTTAATGGTACACTTCTTAAATTTATCATACCACGAGGGGAAGCTGCAACTGAGAACCTCTTCAACTTTCATGGTGTCACTTGTATTAATTGTTTTAATAGTGTATGTGATAATTATGTGGTGGTGTCCCTCAGTGACGTGAGGTTCAGATGTTCACCAGTGTAGTTAAGGTTCAGTCAGGTGTTTAGAACTATCACATGACAGGATCATTAAGGCCACACTGGTCATGAGCTATTAATTAAACGGCGAAGTGTATAATGGTTGAGGTTGATTATGACAGCTGCTTGCTGGAAGTTCCTGCTGGGTGGCAGTGGTGCCAGGGGTCAAGGAGCCGTGTCAACATTACCGTCACATACTTGGAGTCGTTACATTACTATCTGCTACTGTTGGGGTTCGTTATTATTATTATATTTACGGAGAAGCACTGAAACCATATAGATCATAAAGTGCCTGGGAGACATTTAGGTTCGTTCCAAGGAAGGGGAGGGTAAGTCTAATTCTGTGGATTAAGAGCTCCTCACTGGCATCAAATAATCTCCCTTGAGGGATGATGGGGTTCGTAAGTCACACTCACGCTGGCACCATAAGGTGCCATAAGCTTCCCAATAAACGGAAAAAGTTTAGTAAATAAATTTAAATTTATTTAGGCACAGGGATACAAAGTACAATTAATTACCTATGACATGGGTAAATCAGAGGACAACCCCCCAAGAGTATGGTCTGAGTGTCCCTGAGCTGTTACTTTAAAAAGTGTGCCAGCAGCTCTCCGGAGCGGACTCCAAAAACGATTCAGAAAAGAAGCACAATGGGGTTTTTTCAACCCTACTAAAAACGTCACATTTCTAGAAAGAAATTTTATCATTCACATTCGTAGACGGGCCCGGTGGTACTATAAACAGAGGGGTTTACAATTAATAACTGGGGGCCCCCCCCTTACAAAAATTTCTTTTTATATTTTTTAATAAAAAACCCCCTTTTTTCAAAGGGATTTTGGGGCAAATTGGTAAATTTTGTCCCCAGGATACGACCCACACCAGTCGACTAACAGCCAGGTACCTATTTTACTGATAGGTGAACAGGGGCAGCATGTGCCTAATGTCTCCACCCATACAGGGCATCGACCCTCAGACCTCAGAGTGTGAGCCGAGTGTGCGAGCTTGTGGAAACTACGACCGAACAGTGTAATTGTAACTGACTCTTTTCCTCATTACTTGCTCTAAATAGCCTGAGACCTGAATGTAGCTAGGCACTGGAGTACACAAATTATTAAAAAAAAAAGGATTGCGGTTTAACTTTTGTGGATTCTGTCATATAGTTCTCCAAGAGCATGAAGAGTTGATAATTTAGGCACAGGTACACATAGGTACAGTTATCAGTGTAAATTTACTTAGGACAACCTAAAAAACATCAAAGTGACTTATTTTCAAGCATTAAATGTCGAATATAGTTTTTGTTGTTTGAATAAAAGTTTGAAAAGTATTGTCAGAAAAGAACTAGCAAATGAAGAGAATACATTATTAAACCATACCACGGGCGGGGATAAGAACCCGCGATCAGAAAGTCTCAAAAGGTTAGCATTTGTGGTCACAGTGGTGCCTATGCTAACCTTCCTATGGTGTAGAAATATACCTAGTTGGATGAATCTTATTGTGGCTAGCTGGCCCAGTGGCTAACGTGACCGTCTGGAGTTTTGAGACTGATCGCGGGTTCTATCCCCACCCGTGGTATGGTTTGTTTGCAATTGTGTCATTACGATTTCGTGAGTCGAGTAATTATAATAAAGGGGGAGCGCTAAACCCGTAGGATTATGCAGCGCCTCTAGGGGGGGGGGAATGTGGAAGGTATTCAGGCTTAATTCGGGGAACTGGAGCACAGATCCAATTTCCTAGATCAAGAGCCTCTCACCAACATCAAGGAACCTTCCTTGAGGGGAAGGAAAGTAAAACAGAACAGGTAGGAACTAGCATAGGTAGTAAGTAAGTTTATTCAGGTATACACAAATAGTTACATTGAATTATCATACATAGCAGCATATGTTTAGAGAACCTAGGATAACCCAAAAAAGTCAGCCAGAGTGACTTATTTCCACTGGGGTCCCCAAACTCGTGAAGGCGTCACCCTTCATGAAGTTTCAGATTGCCCATCGACACCCGAACATTTATTACACATGTTTAATAAATTGCAAAGGTTAGTGGACGAGTTTGGGAGAGTGTATGAAGGTAGAAAGTTGAAAGTGAACAGAGAAAAGAGTAAGGTGATGAGGGTATCAAATGATTTAGATAAAGAAAAATTGGATATCAAACACCCCTCAAGGAAGGTTCCTTGATGTTGGTGAGGGGCTCTTGATTTAGGGAATTGGATCTGTGCTCCAGTTCCCCGAATTAAGCCTGAATGCCTCCCACATCCCCCCCCCCAGGCGCTGTATAATATTCCGGGTTTAGCGCTTCCCCCTTGATTATAATAATAATGGATATCAAACTGGAGAGGAGGACTATGGAAGAAGTGAATGTTTTCAGATATTTGAGAGTTGACGTGTCAGGTGATGGATTTATGAAGGATGAGGTTAATCATAGAACTGATGAAGCAAAAAAGGTGAGTGGTGCATCGAGGTATATGTGGAGGCAAAAAACATTACCTATGTAGGCAAAGAAGGGAATGTATGAAAGTATAGTAGTACCAACACTCTTATATGGGTGTGAAGCTTGGGTTGTAAATGCTGCAGCGAGGAGACGGTTGGAGGGAGTGGAGATGTCCTGTTTAAGGACAATGTGTGGTGTAAATATGCAGAAAATTGGGAGCGTGGAAATTAGAAGGTGTGGAGTTAATAAGTATTAGTCAGAGGGCTGAAGAGGGGTTGTTGAGGTGGTTTGGTCATTTAGAGAGAATGGATCAAAGTAGAATGACATAAGAACATAAGAAAGGAGGAACACTGCAGGAGGCCTGTTGGCCCATACTAGGCAGGTCCTTTACAGTTCATCCCACAAACAAAACATTTACCCAACCCAATTTTCAATGCCACCCAAGAAATAAGCTCTGATATAAAAGTCCCACTCAAATCCAACCCCACCCACTCATGTACTTATCCAACCTAAATTTGAAACTACCCAAAGTCCTAGCCTCAAAAACCCCCAACTGGGTAATTTTTCCACCATCAACTACCCTTTTTCCCAAAACCAAATATTCCTATGCCCTTTTCAAAATCTAAATTTATCTATTTAAAAATCCATTACTGCGGGTTCTCTTTGGAGGACATCCTCAAGCCCTTAATAATATCCCCTTTTTAAAACCCTATCTTCCCTTTACACTTCGGTCGGTCCCCCTCATTCTTCGTTAACAAGTGAAGAAAACTTAAGAGTCTTAAAAACTTTCTTAAAAGGAAGATTTCAAATGCTATGTATTAATTTAGCACCCCCTGAATTTTTTTAAAGAATTTTTTTCCTTCGTAATAGGAGACCAGAACTGAGCTGCAAAATCAGGGGGGCCTTTTACTAATGATGTTAAAGCTGCAGTATACCCTGGACTTCTGTTGCTTACACTTCTTGTATAAATCCCATAATCTATTTGCCTTATTACTTTGTTGGGCATTGCTGTCTTGTTTGGGGTTGCTGCTCACCAAAAACCCCCAATCCTTTTTTGAAATCTTTAGGCTAAGTTCTAATCATTTAACTTATAAGTATAGGGTTATGGGCACTCCCAGCTTCAGAACCTTGCTTTTATCTACTTGAACTGCATCTGCCATTTTTCTGACCAGAATAGATTTTGTTTAAACCCCCTAAAAGTTCCAAAAACATCTACGTTTGAATCAATTTCCTCCATTTTTGTGTCACGCGAATTTGCTAAAATTCACTAGAAATTTCCCCTCATCAAGATCATTGATTATATTATAAAAAACAAGGGGCCCCCAAGACGACCCCTGTGAACCCACTTGTTACAGATCCCCACGGTTTTAACCCCTTTAGGCATCGTTTCCCGCAGTGAGCCATGACTCATCCACGAGGCACTTTTCCCCCAAGCCATGGCTGCCACTTTTTTTAACATCTATGGTGGGGAACTCTATCTATAAATCTGTAGGGGAAGGAAGGTGGGGTAGGGGTCGCCCTCGAAAAGGTTGGAGGGAGGGGGTAAAGGAGGTTTTTGGGCGGGGTTTGGACTTTCAGCAAGCTTCATGAGCGTTTTTGATAGGATGAAGGAGACAAATGGGGTTTGGGACCTGACACTGTTGAATTTTGAGCAGGGGAATTTTAGTGAAGGGATTCAGGGAAACCGTTATTTTTATATAGCCCTTGAGTATGGGGAAAAGGGAAGTATAATGCCTGCATTTAAAGAAGGGGTTTGGGATATTTGGGAGTTTGGAGGATATGTTGTACAGTGGACCCTCATTAACGCCTTTTAAACCCCTTTTCCAGATTTGCCCCTAACGAATTTAATTTTTCCCCCCAAAAAAAATAAGGAAATCCCAAATTTAATCCTTTTTAGACACCCAAAAAATAATTTAAAAAAATCATTTTTTTTTAAAGAAATAAATTTCCCACACAGAAAACAATGATACATACAAATAAAAAAAATAATAACACACACTTTCCTTTATTTTGGCTTGCTGTGATGATGAACAGGAGGAGTGCAGAGGATGAAGGTGTTTTTTATTGTTTGGAAGGGGAAACCCATTCCCTGAAGACTTTAGGGAAAAAAGTCCTTTTTTGGCTTGTTCCTGGGAGTGCCTTTCCTTCTGAGTAATATAGGTCCTGTTTGACATTTTCTTCCTAAACAGGCCTGTTTTGTCACAATTGAACACTTGTTGGGGTTTTAATTTTTCAGCCTCTAGTACCCCTTTATGTCCTGCACATATTTTTCAGCCACTTTTTTGTCAGAACTGGCAGCCTCACCATGCCTTATCATACCATACCACCATCACAACCACTACCACCCTCTACCACCACTACTACCACCCTCTACCACCATCACTACTACCCTCTACCACCATCACTACTACCCTCTACCACCACCACTTTTATTTTTCTACAAACTTTTTCTTAAATTATATGTGTCTCTCACATTCTTTACCATAGGGCTGGCACTAGAAGCTTTCTTGGGGCCCATGGTGGTTTATTTAGCAGTTACAAGCACAAAAAAAAATGGAATAATACAAGATATATTGCATGTACGTGCAGAATCGTCCTCACTGCCTTTGTAAACAGTTGCACACTAGCTGGTACACAGAGTGAGTGGTGGACGGGCCCACTCAGGGTGCCATGCCGACACGTTCGGGACAAAAGCTTCTAACCGAGTTTTTAGGTGTTATCCGAGCCAATTTTTTTACGCCAAAGCAAGGCATTATCCAATTTTAGCACTA